AGATCTGCAAGGTGTTTAGCATGGTACAAAGCAACATGTAGGGGCCCCACACGAGGGTCCCAGGGTGCTCGGCGGGGTCCACGAATGCTCCAATTTGCTGTGGCCATCGCAGCCGGCCAAAAGCACCGGAACGAGCTTACGGGCGGCCAACTTTCGCCTTACAAAAGCGGGGAGCCAAGCGGTGTATGTCGTGCAAGCAACCGGCCAAGGATTCGGAGACACTACTGTAGACGCCGACAGATCTCTCGCAGTTTGAAGCGATCTCTTGTTTACGGAGGGGGCTTCTGGGAAGTGCTGTGAGTGCCAGGTAGGCGCTCGGGGGGGTTGAGGGGTTACTGGTGGTGCCCCAATTTTCCTGGAGGTTTCCAAGGGGGGGCTCTGAACATGCCCCAAACCCCAGAACTGGAAGAAAGGGGCCTGGGATGTCGTACATTTTTGTGACGACTTCCATATTGACTTTATGCTGAAAGTAGGTGAGGAGTGGCAAGCCCTGATCCCGCAAAGGAGCTAGCGGCGCCACCTCAAGGGTTGGGGGTTGACCGGGGGCTGGAATCGAGGGCTTCGAGTTTGTTCTCTCGCGTTTGCAAGTTTTGTTGCTTTTGAGAGTGGCGTTTGTGGCCCAAAATTTCATGGCACACCCGTATCATCCCTCCCTGCTTTTTTCGCGTGTGCTGTTTATAGTCTTTGGCGATTGCTGAATATTGAAACCTCTTACTATTCAATACGGGGCCGGAGCATTGAGTTTTTTTTCAGTATTCCATACGGGGTCCGGCCGGGCTCCAAGCTTGCCTCCAAACTTCTCCATGGTAATCTCGGGTCTTGGATCGTGGATCCGACCCCGCATTGAATGTTGAAACTGTTCGTTCCTTATTCAAGATGGGGATGCAAGATGGCCTTTAAACTTCTCCGTGGCAATCTTGGATCCTGGATCTTTCCTTCGAGGGGGGGGGTGGGGGTGGTGGGGGTGGGGTGGGGGGCTCCAGCACAGCAGTAGAAAAAACCTCCAGCCTTCCAGCGCGCCAGACGTCCGGGTGGGGGGGGGGTGGGGCCCAAGACCCTAAACGCCCTAAAGCCGACCCGAAACTAAACCCTAAACCCTAAACCCGAAGCCCTCAACCCTAACCCTAAACCCTAAACCCTGGACCTTAAACCTTAAAGCGAAGTACCGACCCATGGACCCTACACCCTAAACCCTAGAGAAGAAACCCTAAAGGCTTAAAAGAATAAAAAGTGGGTAGTCGCAGATGACCGCAAAAAGTAGGTAGTCAGGCTTTAGGGGCAAAGCACGCCTGCCAATGTTTGGGAGCATTGGGGTCAGCTTACGGTTCGTGATGCAAGGCGGAGGTAGTCACATGAACCAAATACCCTCCCCCCCCCCCCCCCCCCCCGCCTCGCCCCCCACCCTCTCATCCCGGGGTTAGAGGGCAGAGGGTGTGGATTGGGGCCGTGCGCAAAGTTGTCGACAAGGTTGGACAATTGGTGTGGCTCATGTCAATTGTTGCACAGATGTGATGGGTTTCCCAAGCAATTCTGATGCCCAAGCCATGGTCTTGGGTCCAAGGCGTCCTCGAGCCTTGCTACCTGGGCAGAGTTTCAACCAACAACCAGGTCGGGCATTCTCCACGCCCACGCTCCGTAGGGCAAGGGGGTTGGCTGGTTGTAGGTGTGAGGTGATCTCCAGCTTTGCTTCATCAAGTCGATTCATGGGTTTAGGGTTTAGGGTTTAGGGTTTAGGGACCCAGACGTTTGAACCTGCAGCCCCATGAGCTTCCGGCCAGCCCACCAACAATGCGGCGGCGTTCAACCCAGCGCAGAACCTGCATTTTGGCAACCACAGCGGGAGTTGAGGGGTTCAGGGACTTCGAGGTGAGGGGGTTTAGGGGGGTTTAGGGGGGTTTAGGGGGGTTGTGTGGCTTGCGGTTCTCGTTCCGGCTGGGGTTAGGGGCTGAGCGCGTGTGGTCGTGGGTCCAGGAAGGAGTTTTGGGCAAACGAGCTGACTCGAAAGCCCTGAGTTGGAACCAGGAATCAAACAAGCCAACAAAAGCTTCATGCTTGAAATCCCGATTCTCGAGCCTAAAAGGCCCTGAGCCCTGGACTCCAGGCCCTACTTCCCGTCCTGTCATTTGAGTCTCCTGAGGTATGTCTACATCCCTGGCGGCAATGCCAGGTTGCGAAACGCGCCCGGTGGCGTGGCGTAAGTTTTGCCGAGACCACAGTTCCTCCCCCTCCCCCTGGGTTTTAGTAGGGAATGAGGGAATGAGGGCGCCATATATGGAGTTGTCGGAACCACCAAAAACAACACACCAACTTTTCGAAAGCTCTACTCGGACTCGGAGACCGGTTCAAGCTTAAGGGGGGCTCAGGCGCTCGACGGCTTTGCGGCCGAAGGGCTCAGGTTGTTTGTTGGGCTCATCGTACAGCTTGCTGGTGTGCCCCTGCAGCGGCGCAAAGGCAACCTCCGCAACATTCCTGGCTTCGCCGCCGGATCGACCATGGAGGGTTCAAGGATTCTGAAGGATTGGGGGTTCAAGGAGCCGGAACACCCATAGAAGGCTCTCCCTCATGCCTCCTGGCTTCCCCCAGTTCATCAGCAGTTTTGGGGTTTAGGGTTTAGGGTTTAGGGTTTAGCAGGGTTCATAATATCCCTATTATCGGGGCCTTAGGTCATAACTAGAACTGGTTGTTTGGGTCGCCCTGAGCGAGATTTCTGCTTTTGCTTTGAGAAGAGTTCAGCCTGCGGGAGTCCCCTCTTCGTGTGTGCAGGGATAGGGTTCAGCAAGCCCTCAACCCTAAGCCCTCAGCCCCTAAACCCTAAACCCTAGACCCTAGACCCTAAACCCTGAACCCTGAACCCTAAACCCTAAACCCTAAACAGCTATCCCACACTCAGCCCGCGCTCCGAGAGAAACCACGCAAGGTCACGCGGCCGGACCCGTCGCTCCCCTTCATTTGTGGCTTGGCGCCTCTGGAATTTTGGGGGGTTTAGGGTTTAGGGTTTGGGATTTGGGGTTTGGGTTTAGGGTTTAGGGTTTAGGGTTTAGGGTTTATTTGATTTCGGGGGTTCTCTTCGGGGTTGGTGTGGGAGTTGGAAGGGGCGTCTCGGTAGGGGGTTACAACAAAAAAAGATGTAGGACAGCATGTTAGGGCTTCACTCGAGGAGCTACCTGGGGTGCAGGATTCAGAGTTTCGGGTTTAGGGTTTAGGGTTTAGGGTTTAGGGTTCAGAGGTTCACCATGTCAGGCCCTAAGCCCTAAACCCTACACGCTTCAGTGAGGGCAACAGCAAACCAATCGCTTTGGGTTTGGTACCCGCCCCTATCCCGCGTAGGGGGTAAAAGAGGGGGGTTTAGGGTTTAGGGTTTAGGGTTTAGGGTTTAGGGTTTAGGGTTTAGGGTTTAGGGTTTAGGGTTTAGGGTTTAGGGTTTAGGGTTTAGGGTTTAGGGTTTAGGGTTTAGGGTTTAGGGTTTAGGGTTTAGGGTCCTTGTAGAATCCCTTCGAGGGGACATTTTCGGCCCCAATTTCCCCTGTCTACGAAGAACCAGGGGGTTGTTCGAAGCTCTGAATGCCCAGCTGCATGTATATTCGGAGGCTTCCGAACCACTTAGGGTTTGGGTTTGGGGTTTAGGGTTTAGGGTTTAGGGTTTAGGGTTTAGGGTTTTGGGTTTTGGGCACCCAGAACCCACTAAGTTCCAATCCTGTCAAGCCCGAAGTACTAACCCTAAACCCTGAACCCTAAAACCCTAAAACCCTGAACCCCAAGACCCTGAGCCCTCAAACCCTGAGCCCTAAGCCCTAAGCCGCTTTGGCATCCCTGTCGCCCAGCAACGGGACGGCGTTCGGACCAGAACTTCGCCTCGGAATCGCTGGCAATCACCAGGCGCTGAGGGTCGCAAGGGGGGCTTTGCCAGGTCGTGTATTTGGGTTTAGGGTTTAGGGTTTAGGGTTTACGGTTTAGGGTTTAGGGTGGCTTCCAAAAATAGGGTCCCTTTTTGGATGCACATTCTAAGGCAGCACCCTTTGTAAAGGGATCCCAAAAGGGGGCCCTTAATTTAGGGAACTACCCGGACAACGGGTCCTGGGTTGCCGTGGACTTGCTTTGAAGGGGAATGTGCGTGTTACACGGGTTCTGACACGATTCTTGGAAAAAACAGGCTTCGAAATGTAACAAAAAACTACTTGATTTCTTACTTTTGCTGCTTGGCTCTTACTGTTGCATTGTGTTTCGTTTTCTGAAAAAACTGTGTTCACCCGGAGCCTAACTCCTTAGTATGGTGTACAAAGAGGCAAAAAGTATGCTGTAAATACCTGTAAATACCGGTGTTCCCAAGGCATGGACGCTTGCAGCGAGCTTATTGCCATTACCTGCGGAATCAATGAGTCTAACGAGTCTAATGTCAACACGAATGTTCTGTGTTTGCGCTTGGCTCATCCGAGGAGTGCCGTGTCTTTCATGCACAGCAAAAGCTATTGCCATCGGGACATCAAGCCCGAGAACATCCTGCTCAGAAACGACGAGGAATTCAGTGCAGGGAATTATGCGCAGGGTTGAATTGAAGCAGCAGCAGCAGCAATTAGCGTGCAGCATTTGGAAATTGGGACGGCGCAAAATGGCACAACAACATACAACAATTGCCTAGCGTCCTCAAGTGGAATATTGAGAATTTTTGCACCCAAGAACCCGAAATTGAAATCGGACACTGAAGGAAGCCAACTTACATGCCGACTTGAGTTGCTGTTGAGGATACTAGCTGGGTGCCATGAAGATGCGAACTTTCTCAACCCAATGAGTGCTAAACCGATACAAGCAACGGGGCGAAGTCGTGACCAAGCGGGCATGGGCTTTTGAGGATTCAGTTCTTAAGGCTCGTGGTGTACGACTGTTCATCTGGGGAACCACCGTCAGTTGAACGGGGGCACGGGAAACACCTTCCATCTCTTCCATTGTGGGGCTCCTCAGGCAGTGTTCGTGCTTGGTCATTTCAGCACGGTCATGGTCTCATAATGTCTCACACAGTGGGGGCTTTCATCGCAGCCCCAAGAACGACCAACACATTGGCCGAACTCAGGCTCAAAACTGTTTGCGTCAGCGGTGTTCAGCAATCTCTTGATTCCGTGGCCCAGCTGTTGAGCCTACAGGAGGTGGTGCTGGCGGACTTCGGCGCTGCTGCAAAATGCGGCAGAGCCATGCCTGTGGTGGCTCCGGCATGTATCGAGGACATAGCTCCCATGTTTGAGTTGTGCGGTTCGTGCGTGAAGGTGGGCACGCCGCTCTACCTGCCTCCAGAGGCATTTCGGAGGCGGGACTACAGGATACCTTCGGGTACCGTGTTCTATGGCGAAGGCTTTGAGTCGCTGGCCAGGGGCTTGCAGGGACCGGCAGGCGACGTCTGGTCCTGCGGCGTGGGGGCCTGAGTGAGGCTTTTGCAAAGCGCCTTATAATACTTATATCTAGCTGGGAACAGCCAAGAACAGCCAGGTGGTCCTCTACGTCATTGTGTGTGGCGAGGTCGCAGCCGGGCTGCGGCCTCAGCGTCGAGGTTTTCCTTTGCGGATCTTGCGTGGATCCTCGCGGGCATGCGAGAGTGGCAAAGAATCGAAATCTGACACGGCCCTACGTTAAGTAAGGCCATACCACGTGCCCGATGGGTTCTTTACGAACCGCACGCGGAGGCTCCTGAAGCGCTGACAGAGGGTAAGCGGGTAAACTGAAAAAAAAAACTGTTTTGCCAGGACGCTGTGTGAGATGCTCCATGACTCCATGATGACCCTGAACAACGGCTTACCGCTGTGACGGTGCCCCGTCTCGCATCGCTTGCAGCAGCTCAGTCGTTGATAGAGTGTTTCAGTATTTCAACACTAGCTTTTGCCAGGCCGGTGCTGGCTTGTCGCAGACGGGCTAGCGAGAGGCCGAGCTTGGCCCGGACAATCTGGCGTAGCTATCGTGGCACTTGTAAGTCATGGTGTGGCGTAGCCTGCAAAAAACAATTCAGATGTTCTAGTTTTGCGCAGCACGGCGAGGATGAGTTGCTACCATGTACCTGGAAGCCAGCCAGACCACATGGTGCACTTATGATGTCCCAGACAACCCGGAGCGGTCAATGCATTCCGCAAAGCTCAGGTCACGGCATCTTTGAGTCTCCGGGCCGTAGCGTTCATTTCCTCCTGCTTGGCTTTTCGAAGTGCGTGTGTTTGCATCATGCTTGGGTAGCGCAACGTCGCTACAGATCTCACAAAGGTCGTAGCATGTGCCTAGAGCACGATACTTTGCTTGGACGGCGAAAACTCGCTTCCAGGTAGCAGGTAGCCAAGGCCAGCAAGCCAGAATGATCGGCCAGAACAGCTTGCAAAGCAAAGTTGCGTGATGGTGGAGAATTTGTTGGCTCACTCAATGTGGCTTGACACATGACATGGTGTATGGCTGGGGCTTGCCTTCTCGAGCAGTCTCGGCTTTGAGCTATCACCATAGCTCACGAGACACCATGGCTGGGCGCACGCAGCAGCTCAGCCTGATGGTGGACGGCTTGTGCCACGGCTGCAAACAGAAGTGGGGCAGTTTTCAGGCATCCAACGCTTTAGGCTTTGGTTCGGCGAGAGTAGAAATCCCAAGGACAGCCGATGTGGACACGCCACATGAGCTTGTCAAGCAAGCATTTCAAGCCCTTGAGGCCGCCCGGCAAAGAAGGGGCAAGATGTGGCAAGCTTTCAGCAGTTTTTCAGCAGTTTCTCAGCAGTTTTTTCAACAGTTTCAGCATCGCAGCAGCGGTTTAGAGCTTTACAAGTGCTGGTTTTGCGTCCTGCGCGCTTTGTTTTGTTGTCGTATTCCGACATTTGAATCCCGCCAGACTAGGGGAGGAAGGAGTTCGGAGGCACCGTTTCCGTCCTCCGAAAAGTGCGACCAATTGTAGTATTGCAACAGATGGGCCACGTGCTGGCCCGGAATGTCTCAGTAGATGCGGCATGTTCGGCCCTCGCGCTGCGAGTACTCTGCGCTGCGTGTGTGGTGCCCTCACGATTCGCATTTTTCGGGAGAAAGCTTTTCTCTGCCACCCAACACGGGCGCGCCCGAGAGCTTAAACCCTACACTGGCCTGCCTGCCCGCGAGTCGAAGCCTTGCACCGCGCCTCAAGCTAAACCCGAAACTTGTGTGCAATGCTGTTGCGTGCCGGATCACGCACTAAACAGTGCCCCGAGCATTTCAGGACGATCAGGCGACCGTGCTCGAGGGCGATGTCGTACAGGCAGAAAGTCACAGTGCATGCCGGTTCTTGCAGTCTTTCAATGTCTTTCATCGCATAACGGTCATTTGCCTGGATGAGGTGTCTTCGGAGGGGAATGGCTGGCTGTGGATTCACTCCGTGGCGGGCCGAGCTTTCGTGGGGTAAGCTCGTGAATGAGCCATGAATCCATCGTCGCAGGACCGTTCTACAGGTTGGGTACCTTGGTGGGTTCTTGTGTAAGCCTCAGTTGACAGATGACGGGTTTCAGATCCAACTCTACAAAGGTTTGGCCAGTTGATTTGATAAGGAGTCGCCGCACCAACCCGACGAGCCCGCCGGGCAGCCCGAAGACTCCATCGACGAGGTGACCAGCCACTTCAACTGTTCACGCCAACTGTCCAGAATTCACATAGTGAGGTTCATCGGCTTGCTGAAGAGCAGTCGGCTGCCGCTCTGGGCTTCTCTAGCCCCAAGGCGTGCTATGAGAATTTTAAGTTCAGGTTACTGTCAGGTTGAGGGTTTAGGAATCAAAAGAGTTGATTCAGAGCGTGGCTGCCATGGTGCAGCTGATGGGGGTGTGCTTTTGAATCCAGTCCAGGAAGATGCCCTGCCTCCACTGCTGGCCCCGTTTCACCTGGGGGCGGCCGTCGATGAGGTCATCGCATCCGCCTGTCACTCGTGGCCGGACTCTTTCCCCCCTCTAAACACTGGATAAGTGTTGCGATCGGGTCACTGCTGTGACGACATGTCCATGTGACGACATGACGGCGTGTGGTTGCGTGTACTCGCTTGCCGAGCTAACTAGCTTCGCCTTTGAATGCCTTTGAAGAACCTGCAGCTCCTTGCGTGGCAGGATGCGTCTGCAGACGTGCCTTCCGCTGGGCTGCTGCTGGAGAACCGCCATCCTGGCGCCACCGTCGCCCCTCGGCGTGCTCCTTTCCCAAAATTGACCAAAACATGACGCGTGCTTCTTGGCAGGATCGGCGGGCGCCACGACAGATTCCGCTTTTGCCTGTTGCAGGCTTCGGAATGTACGGAGCTTCAAAACACGCGGAGGCAAGAATCCTGCCTTCGTGACGTCTTGCGCTGTAGGAGCAGAAGCTTCGGTGACAGATGAGAAGGCGAGACGGCACTTCAAGTGCACTGCGGCAAGAGTTGGCAGCAAGCCTCACGAGGTTCAAGGAACCGTTGGAGAGCAGCCGGCTGGGGCAGATGGTCCCGTGGGCGAGGCGCATTCAGTCGCTTGGGCAAGGAGGTGTCAGGCATGGCCAAAGACATGTTGAGCTGCTCTTTTTGCAAGCAGCAGTCGGATTGCTTGGTGCTCATTTTGCCTGGCCTCCTTGTGCTGCCCGTCCTATCCGGTGTTGGGCTGTGAGAAGCAGGTGCTGCTTGGACCGACAGCTGCTCCACCAGGTGCTCGCATCCAGTGGGTAGCAGCAGCAGTTATCTGCAGCTCAGCTTTGTCATGCAACAGTTGTAATCGTGACATCATTCGGTCTTGTCCACTGAGCCAAACGTAGGAATGCTTCACAGTTAACATATCTGACGCCAGACGAGCTTCCCATATTCGTGGTTGAAACTGACGTGGCGCCAGGGCGACGCTCACGAGTACAGCCCTTCACTCCGAACGACTCCATCGGCTATGCGACGACATTCCCAGCAACTTTCGCGGCAGAGGCGCCGCTGGCACCGTCTGTGCACGCCGACAAGTTGACACGATGGGCGGATGAAGTCCTAGGAGTTGGCGTGGAAGTCGTTCAGCGCACATGCCAGGAGGGAGGCTACGCAGCAGGTGATCCTCCGGCAACCATGCAGCAAAGGCCGCAGACTCTACAGACACAGCCACGCATGTAACTGCTTGTTGTGCAAAGCTAGCAAATTTCAAGCATTTTCATCTCTCGGCACAGCCTTGACCTGCTGCGACATTGCTAGTTTCGAAAATCTGATGATTCTGATGGCAGCTAGGGTTCTCAGAGTCGGGATGCACACAGGAAGAAGCGGTGACTGGATCAATGGCTGCCCCAAAAGCATCGCCTGAAGAGCAGGCGAGACCGCGCTGCAGTCAGCTTGACGGGCTTTGATGGGAGACGTGAGACAATCAAGCAAGATGTCAACCCCGATGCAGCATGATGTAGACGCCACTAGCACGCCATCCACGGTCATCCCTGGCTAGCATGCCCACCCCGAGGTTCAGCGGATCTGGTTGCTAAAGCATTTTGCAGCTAGGACATCAGCATCGAAGCCTCTCCTCGAATTTTGTTCGCGCCTGCGATGCGGCTCTGCGGACGTACAAGAAGGCACGCGACGATTTCAACCGGTCGCAGACCGAATGCAGCCCCTGACTAGCAGGGTGCAAAATGTCAGGGCTCTTACGAGACGAGCCCGAAAACTCCGGAGCATCCAACATGAAGCAATGCTCATGGCAGTGTTGCTTCGAATTTGCAGGTGCCTGCGTGCTCTGTCGGACAGGTTCAGTAGCCCCATCCATTCTTGCTGGAGTGACAGGAGACCCTGCAAGTAGACCCAACCCTTCAAGCGTGTCCCGGCAGAGCCAAACCTCTCGCTGGGGTTCGACGAGAGTCAAAAGATGGAAAATGCCGTGCCTCGGGGTTTCTGAAACCCCAACCCGAAACCCTGAACCAGAGAGCCTCAGAGCAGCTCCTCTCTCAGTCAATCGGTCACAGCGGGCTCTTGTTTTCTTCTTTCGTTGGTGCAGCTCCTGACGTTGGCAAGCTCTGGCGATTGCGAGTTGTGGCCTGCTCATGACTTACGCTCTTTGACAGGTAGTGCGCCCTTCTACTCACAATTTGACGGCCCTTGAGACCATAACTCCTAAACTCTTGAATCCCAGGCAGTTTGCAAGTTTGCCACAAGCCAAGCAGCCATCGATCCCAGCCTGCTTACAGGCGCAGGCGTCCCTGAGTTCATAGGATTAGATTTTCGGGGGGGGGGGGGGGGATGTTCTTTCGGGTGGTTTCCTGACCGTAGTGTATGCCCGGGGCGCATTTTTCCAGCCGTTGCTATTGGAGTTCCAAGAGGGCAGGTGGAAATCTTGTACATGAAGTGAACGACAGTTGCATGACCCTACAGGCCTTCTCTGGGTCTTGGGTTGGGGAATACCAGGCAATCATCAACTCCAACAGTTTCCAAAAATCAAGGGTCTGCAGGGGAATCCAACATATCTGCAAGGACTTG